CACCAGTGACGTCTCTCCAACCGTCATCCCACTCGTTTACACACCCCACATGCCCCAAAAGCCCCCCGTCATTCTTGGCACGCATCGACTCATTCATCCAGCAGACGATATCGGAGGCCGCACCGCCCCTGATCGTCATCAAGGAAGGATGACGCATCACCAACAAAAAAAAAAAACGAGTTACGTCCGAAATAATGCACGAGTCGTTTGGAATTCAATCGATTGTATATTCCGCCAAACTGGCCGATGGTCATATCGGCAGCAGGGGCGCAACCCAGAGCGTGCTGGCGCAGTGTCTATGAAGTAGATAGCCTTCATATCAGCCCATCCTAACTCGCCACTTGCCCTTAAATCGTGGAAGCAAGGGCGGTGTATCAAAACCCCATCCATCCACCCCAAACGCCGTGCCAAAATAGCAATAATACATAAAACCCCCCATCCCTTGCGCCGGGCAACCCTGTGTTACCCCCGTTGATGTGTTGGAGGGTGTGAATCGAATGATGCGCTGTAGGTAGAGCGCTCAGATCGGATACGAGGTCCAGCGGTGTGGCCCCGCGGCCCGGCTTTTGTGACCATAGGGTGATAATCGCCACCACTCCTCGTGAATAGGCTCGTCCGTCGGTGGGTGGGTCGGTCGTCGAATGATGTCTATGCGGTCTTGATGACCTGCGTCCGCTCCTTGTTGAGCTGCATCGCGTTTTGCTCGAACGCTTCCCTCTTGCACTTCAAAAGAAGGTCAGCCAGCACGTCTTCGGGGAGGATTCCGGACAAGCCGACGAGCCACCACTGCGACGGCGCTGGGTAACAACTTACGTCTTCGAGGTTCTGGCACTTGTGGTCTTCTAGTAGGCGGTGGTTCTTGCAGAAAGAGCCCTCGCAGAAGGTGCAGTCGCCCACGATGCGCTGAGCAACCGACTTGCAGTCCTCGAACGAGCACTTGACCTTAGGCATGTTGGCGGGTTGTGGTGGGGGAACTGGAGCGGTGTCGGTGGTTGGTGGGCTGATGTGGCGGATCGAAGGAATTCTGGCTAGTAGCTGGCAGGCAGGCGCAAGATTACGTTTGCGGTCTCGAGGCGGTGTTGGTAGTCGTCGTCGTTGTCGTCGTCAAAGAAGGATGAGCGAGCCGATAGATGGGAAAGGAGCAAAGCGAAATGGTGACGAGCCAAGGGAGCCGGCGAGACTATAAAGGGGAGGGCAACTGGCTGGGAGGTATGCCCCGGACAACAAGGCACTCACGTGGTGACCGGACCCCGGGAAGTGGTGGCCAACTGACGAGAATGGAAGCTAGCCGGACGAACGAAACTGGAAAGAGGTGGAAGCCCTTGGACAGCTGGCCCCGGTGAGGCGGCCAAGGGGCGAGTGTACAAAGGTACAAACAAGGCTCTGTGTAACCGGCTTGGCCAAGTCGGAGAGAGCCGCGGCATGGCCCAACCTCCACTGAGCCACCCAACAGAACTGTTCTGGCTTTGGCGCCCCGGTTTGCCGTGGCGGACTGCATGTTTGCAAACGCAAGGCTACCCTTGCCATGACGAGTTGGAGGTTTTCGGCCATCAAAGCCGCATGCTATGCTGTAATCTCGGCGAGGCCTGTTGTGCCAGAAACGGACCAGCCGACGAAAGATAAAGGCCATGACGGGCCCCAGTTGCCGTGAGCCGCCGGGCTTTTGCATCCGGAAATTCGATCTTCACTACGAAGTATGTACATCTGTCTGTGCATATTGGGGAAAACAGCGCGCGATAAGCCGGCCCGTGTGGGAGCGAACCGCAAAAGGCCGTTTGGGTCATTTCCAGTGGTCGGGCAGGTGGGAGTTATCGGTATTGGGTACTTGATGCTGCACAATTGATCCAGTGCGTCTGCAACGTGGGACAACAGATCTCCAAAGCTGCATATCGAGCTTGCCGCAAGGGTAAGTGCCAGGGTTCTTAGCGCAGGTTAAGTGGAGAGGGGCGCAACTGAATTCGACAACGGGTTTCACTAACCTAATCCGGTCAGCCCGTCCTCGCTATCCGAGGGGCAGCCGAACCACGGGTTTGGCGCAAACGCAGAATGGCGGTTAGTTGGAGACAAGTTGGAGGCAAACAGTTCGGAAATTAACTAACTTGAACCTGGTAGTCATGTTGAGTTGAGAGTTACCCAACGACGGAGCCCAAAAGAGAGGAGGTAACTCATCGAGAGGAAGGTGCGATGCCAAACGGTTGCCTCCATTGTTATCAACAGTATCCGGCAGGCACAATCAGGTGTCGCAATCCCCAGCTGCTTACGGTTAGTGAGTCCCAGTTGAGACATGAGTCGCTAATTCGAGCCGGAGCGCCAATTCCATCTCCGCTCAAGTCTCCATCGCCTCGCCTGCTCGATCGCGTGCCGCCCGCAATCCCAAATAAGGAGCCCTCGATTAAGACACCAAGATGATCCAGATCGGGCCTTGGCCTAGTGGTTTCTGGTTGATGCATGAGCACGCAACTATTGAAAAGCCATTGGCCACGCATCGCCTCCGGGGCGAGACACCAGACAATGGCAAACCAAGATTTTTCCATTTCTCCGCGAGAGCCCTTGCTTCCCGTCTCCTTCCCTACCTTAAGGTCCTGAATTGCCTCTCACCCAGTCCCCAACCCAGCCAAGACCGCCCGCCGTGAGCGTCGTCAGACTTGCATGAAAGCCCAAAACCACCCAAAGCGCATGCGTGCGATGCCTAAACCCTCCTTCAAGGTAGTTATACAACCCTCCCGCAATCTCTTCAAGCCCAAACCCAAAATCAGCCCACATCATCGTCATCGCAACATCGCCCTTGCCGGCGTTGCCGCGCCCAGGAGGACGCTGCCACCGGACCTGACCGCCTACCGCGGCCGCGTGATGGGCGGTCACACCGGTCTCTCTCCACCGTGCTCTTCTCTCTCAACAAGAGCAAGAGGCGGCGGATCAGCCGCTGCCCTTCGGCTCGGATATTGCGAACGCCCACTGCAGGGAGGGGGGGATGATCCCTCCTCAAAAGTCCTTCAGCCGGCTCGAGGCCGGGAACATGTGGCCGTCGCCGAGCCAAGCAGGAAACCGGGCGCTTCAATGGGCCCGACTTCATCCGGGCGACGACAACCAACTAACTACGAGCGTGAGCAAAATCCCAGCCGCCCACCCGGCAGCGACAGATGCAGGTCTCACCTCAGCGAGTCAGCACACCAAGACCTGCAATAGGCGAAAACGTACGAAGTATTGCTTCTACTTTCGTACTCGTCCGGTTCAAGAACCATAATCAGCCCGTCGTCCGACTCAGAATTCCCTTAATAAACTACCTAAGTTAGCGCGTGAGGGAAATGACGTCTCGTTCGGTCCTTTGTCCAGGCGTTTTCGAAGTCCAATGCTGTGGCTAATAACGTCGTCATCATCGAGGACATATACAGTAAAGGCAAATGCTAGCCGCCAAAGTTCCTCCAATTGACACAGATGGTGACGACTTGCCCCTCGCCATCAGATTACGACTCTGCTAAGAGTCTAGACTAGTGCCATTCCAGCTACGGACCGGTTCACTCTAAACCAAGGAGATAGATAGGTAAGGCGAAGACGTGGCTGATCTCTGGCTGAGGCGAAATCACAACACGGCTGGTCTCAGTCATAACTAGTCATCAAGATGTGATTCGTTCGCTATTGTACTCCCAACATACAGGCTCATCTAGCAACATGTAGTTCACTCTCGTACTCCCAAGCATACAGCCAGCCTCAAGACAGCCCACTCGGCCCCGTTGCCACCCCAAACTACCCATATCTTTCCTTAGGCCTGCATGTTCAGGACGGCGCGGATGCAGTCGCCCTGCTTCATCACCTCGAAAGCGTCGTTGATCTCGGGCAGCGTCTTGCGGTGCGTGATGAACTCGTCGACCTTGAGGCGGCCCTCGAGGTAGTCGGTGACCAGGTCCGGCAGCTGGCTGCGGCCCTTGACGCCGCCAAACGCACTGCCCCTCCAGACGCGGCCGGTGACAAGTTGGAATGCTAAGGTAAGGTTGGTCGGTCAGCCACGATACTTTCGGAATCGAACCCCCGCTCCCCCCTTCTCACCAAACGAAGAAGAAAACAAAACTTACGCCTCGTCGCGATCTCCTGCCCCGCGGCAGCCACGCCGATAATAATGCTCTCGCCCCAGCCCTTGTGGCACGCCTCGAGCGCAGCCCGCATCACACTGACATTACCAGTGCAGTCGAACGTGTAATCACAGCCGCCATCCGTCATCTCGATCAGACGGTCGACCACGCTCTTGCCCTCGGGGAGCTGGGCCGGGTTGACAAAGTCCGTCGCACCAAACCGGCGCGCCCACTCCTCCTTGGCCGGATTAACATCCACAACAATAATCTTCCCAGCCTTCTGCGCCACCGCGCCCTGCACCACGCTCAACCCGACACAGCCCGCGCCAAACACGGCGACGTTACTGCCCTCCTCGACGCGGGCCGTGATGCGGGCCGCGCCGTACCCCGTGGTGATGCCGCAGCCGAGCAGGCAGGTTCGGTCCATGGGGGCGTCCTGCTGCACGGCCACGACCGAGATGTCGGCCACGACGGTGTACTGGCTGAAGGTGGAGGTGCCCATGAAGTGCAGGATGTCCTGCCCGCGCGCCCGGAACCGGCTCGTCCCGTCCGGCATGACACCCTTGCCCTGCGTCGCGCGGATCTTGCCGCAGAGGTTGGTCTTGTTGGACTTGCAGAACTTGCATTCTTTGCACTCGGGTGTGCTTTTGGTTGGGGGGGGGGAAGGTTAGTAGTTGGCTAGGTGGGAACTAGATAGGTGATAGGGAGGGAGGCGTCGGTGTTGTATTGTGTTAGGAAAGGGGAGTGACGTACTAGAGAGCCACGACGTGGTCGCCCGGCTTGACGTTGGTGACGCCCTCACCGACCGACTCGACGGTGCCCGCCCCCTCGTGTCCGAGGATCACAGGGAAGGCACCCTCGGGGTCCTTGCCAGAGAGGGTGTAGGCGTCTGCGGTATTGGAATTGGGTTAGCACCTTGGAAGTATACACGACGGTATACACACACCCCGGTGCCCAGGTGGGCAAGATGGCCATCAAGGTGTCCGAGGTTTTTAGGTTTCAACAATGGAGGGGCGGGCCGTTACCTGTATGGCACACGCCAGTGTATTCGATCTTGATGCGCACCTCGTGGGCCCGCGGCGGTAATACCTCGACATCCTCGTAGCTGAGATCCTTTCCAGGGCCCCAGGCGATAGCCGCCTTGCAGGTGATGGTCTGCGGGTTGGAGATGTTAGCGAAGCTCACGTAGAAGGGTGGCAGTTCACTAGCAATCGCTCAGTCGCTGCGGGGTAGTTGTTTGTTATCGACGTTCGTCATAACTCACCTTTCCTACTGTTGAAGCCATTATGATGGTTTGTGATCTTGGGCTAGATGAATTGATTGAGAGCAGAACCAGTAACCTCAACTCGGTCAGTTTAGAACACAACGAAGCTCCTTCCTTTTTGTCCCTTCCAACAAAACAAAACGTCGGCCTCCCTCTTCGTCATTCGGGAACAATTTGACCCCGCCTTCCCAAGGTGGGGTTCCCTGAGGGGTCAAGATTGCCGAGTGCGCCCGGCACGACCACTGCTTGTTCACCTTTTATCCTTCGGCATTCTGGCGGCTTCGGTGATTTTACGGCATCCCGCCCGCCAAGTGTTTGTTTCCTACCTTTTGCCTCGTTGCGGCTCGGCAGTTCATCAAGCCCTTCAAGTCCTTGAACTGAGTGGGGGTTCTTGGTAAGCTTGGGAAGACCACTCCCCTTGCTCGGGTCGAGGGAGACAATCCCGTAACTGAGAAACATTATTGCGTGTCTCGGTGTTGTGCCCTGCATGAAGCTTAAGGTAATCCACTTTTCCGACGGGAAAGGTATCGGAAGTCAGTTCAATGTGCCGAATCAGAGTAGGTGCCTCACTTCTAAGAGAAGCTTCTCTCTTCAATTCAGAAACTAGGTATAAGTGCTTCTATTTACTTAACTCTCGGGTGCTGGGTGATTTTTGAGTCCATCTGCTTGTTTAATACCATCCATGAAGCAGCATTGTGTAGAAGATGCGGTTGTCTTCCTTTGCATCACGGGGGCGGACTGGTATATACCCATTAAGAAATTGCACATGAGACCAGGACTTTAGGAGTTGATTTGCTATTATGAGTTGATTTAGATGTGGTCTCTGGTATTGAGCTGTGCCACTCTTAATCTTTCTAACAATATTTTAGATCTTGAATACTTGTAAAGCTCATGGTGATGCAAAAGTGGGGGTATATGAGCGGCCTGTGATTTACTAATCCAACTCAAGAGAATGTTCTCACAATCTCACAACGTCAACACACCCCCAACATAAGAACGCCACACTGACCACACCAAGATGGCCCCCCTCCCTCCTCCCTCTCCCCTTCCCGAGTTGGTGTACAAGATCACTCCGTCCGAACCCCCGGATCCCATCCCCTGGCCATACCCCCTCTCAGACCTCGACAAGCAAGATGGCTTCGTACACCTCAGCACGTCAGGGCAGGCATGCTACCCCCCGATACCAACAAACACCCTTCCCAAAGAACATAATTCTAACACCCCAACCCCCCCAAAAGATACCCATCACATCCGATCTCTTCTTCAAAGACAGCACCTCCTTCTACATCCTCAAGCTGCGCCTCGCCAACTTTGACGCGTCCAGCGTCAAGTGGGACGAGGTAGACGGGACAAATGGGTGTCCGCATCTGTACGGCAACTTTGGGGCCCAGGATGTCGTGGCTGTCCGGGAGTTCCGGCGCGGGGAGGGGCAGACGTGGAAGGAGGTTTTTGCGGGCGAGACGGGGTGGTTGGAGTAGATATTTCTCAACAGAAGAAGCAAGCGATATTGATATCAACTCCTGATCACCAAATTCTCCGCCGTAGAGCATGCGTGTACAAGCCTAGGCAATCCTCATGTGTATTACACAAACCGCACATTCACTTCTTAATCTAAAATAGTTAACCCAAACACCCTGCACCTCCCCCATCGTCATTTTCCACCCAGTGATTAAACCCACAACCGACAAGTCACCGGCGATCCACGGCAGCTTCCCCATCGGACAGGACAGACCCGTCTACCAAACCATCTCACCGGCCTCCTCCAACCACAGCCCCGCCAGATCCTTCGCCAACCCCAACCTCAACCTCTTCATGACATCCCGCCCCCTAGTCTTAGTCGTGACCTCAGCCCGCCAATCCCACCCCCTCTTAACAGCCACCTTCCCCAGCGCGCCGCCGCCAGTAAGCGACCGCTGCAGCTGGCTCGCCACCAGCGAGCTGCCCGCCAGCATCACATTCCCTCCCTGCCCACCACCATCAGCAGCATTCTTCTTGAGCAAATCCGCCGGCGTGGAGCCCTTCAACCCGCCCGGCGCGGACGCCAGCACGAGCTGCAGGAACTCGTCCGAGGCGTGATAGACCCTGTCGCCGACGGCCTGCAGGTCCTCGATGGCCTTGAGGATGACGTCGATCTGGTCGAGGGAGACGGCCGGGCCGACGGGGTCGGCCGGGTGGCCGTAGCCGTGGCCGTGGTGGTGGTGGTGGACACTGGTGTCGTCCGGGTTGGAGACGAAGACGAGGGCCTCGCCGAGCAGGGCGAGCAAAAAGTCCTCGCTGACGATGCCGTCACGCGTCTGGTCGAACAGGCCGCCACGGATGTTGTCGTCCGAGCTGGCGATGACGCTGACGAGGGCCGTTGCTGCCTGCTGCCGCCGCGCGTGCGGCGTGGCGTGCGGGAGGGCGTGCTCGTTGTCGCGGATGTCGTAGAACTGGCGCAGCGAGGCGTAGCCACTGAGCATCTTGCCCAGGAGCTCGGCGGCCTCCATGTCCTGGTTGGCGCACTGCTCGAGCGTGTTCTGGCGGTCGGTGAGTAGCTTGTGGAGGTAGTCGTCGAGGTCGTTGGCGGGTGGGAATGCCGTGGATTGGATGAGGGAGTAGGAGATGAGCAGGTTCATGACCTCGCGGACCTTGTTCGGGCGGTGCGCGAGGGCGTAGTACCACATGGCCTCGCCGTAACGATGAGACTCCCGGGCGAGGATGTCTCCGTAGGCCTAGAAAGGGTTAGTAACTAGGTATTTCCAAAGTTTGATATGCTGCAGCACTCACCTGTGTCGTATCCTCCGCAAACTCGATCATGCCGAGCTCGTTCAACAGCAGCCACAACCGGTCCACTGTAGCATTCGAGTCCACGTGCAATTCTTGGACCAGGTGCTCGACCACGTCTCTCACCATCTCCTCTGACCGTTCTGGCGAGTCCATCCGGCCAAGGACGCTGATCGACAGCTCCCAGCCTTCCCTCGAGACACCCAGCCTGTCTTTCACCGTGGATAGGCCGTCATAGTCGGCTAGTGCTTGGGCATATTGCACCAGTGTGCTGTCCTTGATGCCGTCGATCTCATCCGGCGCGCCAGGATCCATGCCAAGGACCTCCAAATCGTCCATGTCCAAATCCTCGAGCCCAAACACGCCTGAAGGGTGGTGGGGAGGCAGCCATTTTCCGAGCGACGCAATCTCAGCCACCGCGGCGGCAACGGGAAGCGACCAGCCACGGAGCAGGCCAATGACGCCCTTGATATTATCTTCAAAAAGACAGGCCATGCCAATTTCGACGGCATTTTGGGAGTTGAAGTGGAAGTCGGATTCCACCGCCAAATGGAACGTGTGCGCAAGCCTGTCGAGATAGCTGTCCGTGTCCGCCGCGGGTGTCGAAGCGAGGACCAGAGCCTGCGATCGCGAGAGTGACTGTGACATGGAAAAGGGTTTGTCCGTATGAGACTTCCGCTCGTCCCACCAGCCGAACAGACCGACCGTAGCCTCGAGCCAGTCCTGTGCTGCCTCCAGAATGGCGCCCTGCTGGCCGAGAACGATGTCGAACACGATATTCAGGTTCTCGTAAATCTCCCAGGGCACCTGGCTCTCGGCGCGCCTGGCCAAGCCGGCCATAGACTGCCGGCCTCTTGCCGATGTATTAGAGGCCGAGAAGGTCGATTCGCCGAATGCGCTGTCCTTGCCCTCGGCAAAGCGTCTGAGATGCTCGAGCGAGCCCTGGGCGCGCACGCGGAACAGGGTCCAGTCGCTGTTCCAAATCTCCCAGTTGCCGTCATAGCCCGGGCAGCTCTCGAGCACGCCGATCGTCTCGTCGACCGCGCGTTGCACGTTCTCAAGCGCACGGTCGACATAGGCGTACTCACCGCGCTGGCCGCGCCGAACGTGGCCCCAGCCAGCTTGGTAGAGCAGCCGCGCGGCGTCGCTCACCTTGCCGCGAAGAAGCGCAATGAAGACGGCTTGCCAAAATAGCGAGTGGCACGCCGGGCTGGGCCGGTACCGGAGGATCTCCTCGACCTGGTTGCCGTACATGTCGTGGTATTCGTTCAGCCAACGGAACAGCGTCTCGGGAAGCGGTTCCGCGCGCGCCATGCCGCTCTCCTCGTACCGCGTGTGGTGGATCTGTAGGGCTAGGTTGGCAAGGTAGTTGGCCTTCTCGAACGGGGAGGCGTGGGGGCCGGGCCCAATCTCGGCGGCATGGTCTTCGGTCGGACGCGGGAGCTTATCCACATGACCCTTCCAGAGCGCGGCCACCTTGGCTGAGACGGTCGCCAGGGTATCGTCCATCTTCTCCTCGTCCTCCGCCTCACCCACACCCTCATCATAAAGCATCGCAAGCAGGTTCTCCGTCCCCAGAATAACCTGCGGGGTTTCGGTAACCTGCGCGGTCCCCATCTGTTGATAAACATCCTTGGCGAGCGCAGCATAGTGGTACTCGGTCCTTCTCACCGGCCCACCGGCGGGGAACGACGATGCGCGGAAGATATCCTCAGCCTCGCGGCGCACCCTCTCAGTGGCGGCGGGCGTAGCCATCATCAGCAGATCCGACTCATCCCCAACTGTGGGCAACCCCGCCCCGGTCCCCGCCGTCGAGGGCAGATCCAGCCACATATCGCTCTCGCCCTCCTCATCATCATCGTCATCAAACGGCACCCCAAACGTCTTGCTAGCAGGCGCAGGCGCCGCAGCCCTCCCGCCCAGCCTAGGGCTCTCCTCCTCCTCATCAACCGCCACCGCCCTGCTCAGCCTTGACGGCTGGCGCGTATGGCCCGGGCCCCTAATAATCGACCTCCCCAGCGGCGCATTCCGCTTCTGCGTCCCCGTCCCCGCAAACAGATTCTTCTTCCCATCGCCCAACCCGGCAAACCCACCGGCGGAATCAAACCCTCCCCCAATCCCCGTAAACAACCCCCCACGACTACTCCCACCACCACCAGCATCCGAAAACCCCCCACCACCAGTAAACAACCCCCGCGGCGGCGGCGCCCCCTCGCCAGCCCCAGCTCCCGCCCCAACCCCCGCCGTAAACAGCCCCCTCGCAGGCTGCTCCCTCCCACCAGCACCACCAGCACTACCTCTCGCAGTCGACATACCCCTCAGCAAGGAACTCCCCAAATAACTCGCCGATGGCGCGCCCGCGGGCGTGAAGCTGGCGGTAGACGAGTTATGGGGATCGTCGTCGTCGTCTGCTCCTGCTCCTGCTCCTGCTCCTCCCCGAGCAGAGGGCGGGGGCGGGCCGGACGGGGTGGTGGAGCGGTGGCTTGCGTTGGTGTAGAGGGGGTCTGCGGTGGTGGTGGCGGGATGGGATTTGGAGGAGGGTTGTTTGGCGCGGGCGCGGTCGGGGGTGGAGGGGAGGGCTGGGGGGTCGGGGTCGAAGATGCTGTTTCTGGTTGTGGAGGGGAGGTGGAAGTTGAAGGGGGTGGACATTTTGGTTTTTATGGTTGTTTGTTTTGTTTTGTTTGGGGGTTGGGTGTTGTTGGCGCTGTTGGGTTTCGTTCGTTCGTTCGTTCGTTCGCGTGGAATCGGTCGGTTTTAGTTGTGGTTGCGGTGTTGTTTTGTCGAAGGGTAGGCTGCGTGCGCGCAGATCGATCGACAATCGGTAAAGGCAGCTATCAGTTTGTTCGAAATGACCGGATTACATATCGGCCGTGACCTAGAGGGCGACCGTTCGTGATGATGGTCGGTGGATGGTAATTGCCAGCGTGCAATGTTGTTGCGAAGTTTGGTTGTGGCTTTCGCTTGGCAATGGACAAAGCTCCAAAACTGGGAGCTTTGGCAGGTTGCACAGACGCGACTTTTTTGGCGGTTGTCTGCGCGCCTCGGCAAGTTCCGCTCACATTCGGATGGACAAGTCTCAATCAAATGCTTCGATCAAGACCATCTGGCTGGTATGTTTGATCTATTCCACAACGGATTTCACTTCCAAAACAATATAATCGCTTCAACGCTATGACTTGGTTAAACTTATACACCACCGCCCTCAACCTTTCACCCCCTAAGATCATAGTACATACACATCACAAAATACACAGCAGGAAAGAAATAGAAGGGCAGAATAAGATGTATCTGTCTAGAGCAGGCCAGGTGATGAATTAGGTAGCTACCCATCAAAGGAACCGTAGGGTATCTCTAAAGGGCCGACTACACCACCCGATGCCGCTCGCGCTTCTGAGATACATGACACATTATGTATGAGGTACTGGGGGGATGGTGAAACAAAAGAAAGCAACGTCGGCCACCGTATGGTCGAAGGGGTATTTTAGGCAAAGCATGCGCCAACGCGAAAGGAAATAGAGGCGGCCTTCGTCGGTGCCAAGCACACCTCAGCCAACCTGGCTTAACCGTTCAGCCCAGAGCCCGTCTACGCACTCTGCGGCAGCAACGACGTGTCCTTCTCCGACCCCAGCCCGAAGTCTCTTGCCCTGGCGCTCTCGGGGTGCTGTAGCCCAAACTTCTCGAGCCCGGCGACCGCACTGTCGAGCTCGCTGTAAATTCCGAGGCCGTTGCTATCAGGACCGCCTGCGCCCGTCTTGTCATTGTTCTCGTCCGCACCCTCCTCGAGGTTCATCAGCGCCGGCGGACGGTGCCGCATCTGCCGAGCCTTTGCCAGCGAGATGGTGTTCTGCTGATACGTAGTCGTGATAGGCTGCGTGTCGTCGCGATCGATCGTGGCCTTCATTAGAGCAGCCATCCACAGCCGACCTTGTTTGATGTTTGGTACCGCGAAGTAGTGGACGGTGGGCTTTGTAAAATTGACGGCGCGAGAAAGACCGGCGCGAGGGGGGACGAGCTTGAAGATGAAAATGGAATCAGACTCTTGGATGGGGTCGCGTTCGGCGTCGGCTGCTGCGAGGGTCGTAATGTGGCTCCCGGCCGGCATTGCGGGCGTGCTCGAAGCGCCCGTGAGCGTAGCAAGGAGGCCGGTGAGCCGCTCGTTGTCGGCAGGAAGCACCCGGTGGAATGAGATGTCGATCAGTCCCCTTTCCTGGTCGTCGTCCTCTGAATAGTAGTAGGCCAGGCGTCTGCCCTTGAGCACGAAAAGGCGGGGCTTCCAAGTTGTCATGAGATTGGCGCTTCTCTTCTTCATCCAGCCGGTGTAGTCGGCGTCCTTCATGGCTTCCCGGGGGCTGATCTTCTGAAGGCCACGCGTGTACGCGCTGGTCTCCTGCTTCTTCTTGCGAGTGTTCCGGCTGGGCGCCGTTGTTGCTGTGCTCGGGCTCTTAGTGTCGGGCGACTCTAGATCAAAACTCTGACCCCCAGAAGGCGTACTAGACCCGGTGCGGGCTGGCGAGTACATGGGCGATTCCTTAAGAGGCGACTCAACTGGCGACAGCTTCGCTCGCTCGCTACCCGTAATAGCATCCGAGGCTGCCCGTAACCCCCCGAGCCCACTCCGCAGCATCATGCTCACGTTGAAGTCGGGATGGTTGACTTGGCTCAGCCGTTTGATGGCAGACTTGGGCGAAGATCGAGACTGGTCTGAGGAATTGCTGTCCAGTCTTGTGACGGTAGGGTTCATAGACTCCTTGGAACCGGTCATGTGACGTAGCGAGTCGGTGGTAGCCATGGACGGCGTGCGCTTCGACGCACCGTAGTATTTCTGGGCAGCCGAGGAGAGCGACGACTCGCGCATCGAGTCCACGCTTCCGAGTCGAGAATGCCTCGAGAGCGCCGTGGCGCTGCGCACCCGCTGTTCATCGGCATAACTTGCCTTGGGCGAGGTTTGGGTGCTCTCGCGCTTCTTCAAAACATTGCGTCGACGGGCATCGGCATCGGTGCCCGAAAAGTAGCCACGGTCCATCTCGACGGCCGAATCCTGCAGTTCGGCGGCCCGTCCACCAATTGCGTCTTGGTGTCCTGCGGATGACAGGGGACGGGGCGAATAATTCGAAGCCGAAGCGCCTCCCAGAGTCCAATTCCGGTCGAAAGAGGGCTGCTTCTTGTGAGGGGCGTCTTGTCGCAAGAACGTACTGCTCGCAGATGCCTTGGCTGGTACGGAAGAATGAACATTGGCGCCGGGAATGCGGAAATCGGTGGATGAGTGGCGCCGGGAGTGGTGCAAATCTCGGACGGATGCAGCAGAGGGCCGTTTGTCGTGGAACGCGCGGGTCGGGCTCTCTATGAGAGGGGAGACGGGTGACACAGGTTCGTAAGGTTCGGGTTTGGTTGTTTGTGACGAGCGTTTGGTTGTGACCGAAAGCGACGTGTCGTTGAGGGGTGCAAACCTGGGGCCCGAGCTTGTGATGGTATTCGTTCGGCTCCGGACCCTACCCACATCGGAACCTGCATCGCTTCCGTAATTCTGAGTGTTCCTGCCTGTGCTCAGAACCTGCCCGGTTACCTGGTCTTGCAACTGCTTGATTTTCTGCCACGTCTTCAACCGTCTTCCAACAGATCCCAAGTCGAGCGCCTTAATGAATACCGACGTTTGGTCCATCCCTAGAATCACTTCGCCCGTGATTTCTTGGTCCCTAAACACTTCACAGTGGTGCTTCTCCACGCCGGCTGTAAACAGATACTCGGCAACTTGGTCGGCATTCCACGATTCAACCTCCTGACGCGTGTGAATCGATTCCTCCTCCTCGTCTGTCTCTTCGCCCTGGATGTACGATATTCTGTGGCCCATATGCGAGCTGTACTCGCTGCCCGAGTCGTTACCATTCCGGGCAGATGGGCCAATTTGTGGCGAGTTCAAATCCGTAATGTGCTCGTCGATTACGTTCAGGGTGTCGTGTAGGACATGGCTGTCTGAGCTCGTAGCGGGGCGCGTTGTGTTGCCGAGGCCGGAACCTATATTGGCTGGCACGCTACTGGCCGAAGGTGGAGGAATGCTGCTGACGGTACTTGTTGACTGGAAGGAACTAATGGGGGTGGCGATGACGGGGTTTGACTCGGGAACGGGAGTAGTACTGTGGTCGTCTTCTACGGGGGGGCTAGCAGCCGGAGTTGTCTGCTCGGTCGACGTCTCTGCTAAGGGCGTGAGGGGCGGCTTCGGGGGTGAGAAGGCCGAAATGTTGACGATGTTTTTTGGCGCTGGTCGCGTATACACTTTTCCATGTCAGCGGGGAAGGTAACTTAGCGCACCCAAGGCAGGGAACACCTACCCTCCGGGAACAGGCCACTGTTTCCGTTGGCCATGTGCTTGCCCAAGTACCATCCATCCCCAAACTCGTCGTCGCGCTCGAGAAGCTCTACGCGGTCGCCCTTGGTCAGGCTCAACTCGTCGGAACTGCGGGCTTGGAAGTCGTCTATGGAGCGGGGAGGGGTCAGCCATTGTTCGCAGTCACGAGGAACCGCAAAGCATTGCGGTGCTGCAGCTCTGCTGGATCGCTAGACCAAGCAATACGCAGTTGAGGCATTGGCGTCCCAAGACGCGGGGCAGAAGGGCAACGTACGGATAACGAGCAGGGTATCGCCCACGTCGGGCTTGTTTGAATTGGATGCCGCCATGGTCGTCCCTCGATGGCAGCGGGCTGGCTGCGCGGGTGCGTCTGGAGGGAAATAGTGAGGACAGACTCGAGGGCAGCACGATCGGGGTTGCGGTTCACAGGGAACGCCGAGGCCGGGGGAGGTGTCGCCAAAATAGAGGGAGGCGTCTTCGGATGTCGGACAGACGGGGGCGTTGAGGGGTGGCTGTCGCAAAAGCCAGGCCCAGAATCAAGCAGGTAGGTCGAGGGGAGGGAGGGGGGCCGCGAACGGGGCCTTGATTCGACCAGGGGCGGACCAATCTAAGCGGGACCGGCAGGCGGCGGAGAAACGTCGTGAAATGCAGAAGGCGCACGGGGTGGTGTCACTCCCATGATCTATGTGCCGCTGCAAACACGTTGTTGGATCTATTTCCAGAGACGGCGCTTGGCGGGTTATTCGTACTCGAGGGCGCTGTGGGTTCCCAGGTGGGATGGGGCGCTTGGGGGGGTTTCTTCGGTCGTTCGCGGCAAGACGGGACCACGTATGTTGGGGGTTGAATGGGGCTGAAGCTTCGGCGGCGGCGGCGGCGGCACCCGGGCTTCCGTCGCTGATTGGGGGGAGCACCCAGGGAGCACTCAGGCAATTAACGGGAGAGGGGTGCGTGGGTTGCCGTTATTGGGCCCTGCAGAACCGGTTTCTCCAAGCAGCGCCGTCACACTTTACACGGCGAAGTCGAAACAAACCAGAGCCCGAGATAAAGGTAAGAGGTTTACAAGAGGTGTCGTTGAGAAAACTTCTCGTCTGGGATAAACGCTGCCGTGGTAAGGATGATCTCGGTTAGACACGTCGATTGAGCGCCTGTGCTTTTGGCGTCTTTTAGCTGAAAAACGGGGACTGAAGGTTCGCAATTATGGCTCCACTTGATCGAACAGCAAGCATCTCACTGGCCAGACCCTCGACCTCGAAGCCAGGGTTGGAACGAGGGTTCGGTAAGCATGCACTTGGTACCTGACTCGAAGGCAAGGGATTACGTCTTTGCGCGAGTTCGGTCGGTACTGAGAAGAGATGCATGCACAAGCTTCTCTTCCGCTCATGATGGATGTTGCTCTGGGTTTGGCTACATATAAAAAAGCCGGCGTTTACTCAACGACCACAGCATGGTCCAAGAAAAGAAACGATACTACACTAAGAGGGCGCAGTGGCGCAACTGTTGCCTGCACAGGTGAGGTGAAGCAGACTGGGGGCATTGAGGCGCCGCTCTGCCATTCCCATGCGGCTGGGACCTTTTCCATCAACCGGGATCAAAAAAGCGCGGACAATGCATTGACAGGGAAAAGCCACGCGAGAACCTTGCCTCTTCAAAAGGAAAAAGAATGCAGCCCAGTCCTCGCCATCGGGGATAACATGGCTGAGAAGGACGGCCTGCCCGTGTGTGGAACTGGATGAAGCCCGACCATTTCTTAGGTGAGCGTCTCGGTGTGTGCTGTGGCAAGTGTGAATTTACACAAGCTGTTTCACATTGCTACAGCTATCATTTTCTTCACTCCCAAGAATTTACACAGTGAACGAATGGCTTCCTCCAATTTACACATGCCAATCCCCACAATTAACGGGCAGTCCGCAGCGGCGGCCGGCAAATGAACCCCTGCGGTTTCCCCAGCTTCGGCGTCGGCCCGCTTCTGGCCTTCAACCCACTCTAAACCTCGGCAACTCCTTTTCAGGTCATCCATCTCATCACTGAAAGATGGCATCTCTCCGGTGTTCAACATCGGCGAACATTCGGTCAGATTTCAAGGTATCACCGTTTCAAGAACCGCCACCGTAGCCGCCAACACGCCAATAATCCATCCCGAATAACGCACTACGCCGCACTCGTCTAACCTCACCCTCACCCTCACGCACGGCACCGTACCCCCACCAACCATCCCATTGGACAACCACCAGCAAACATGGCCCAGCAACAACAACCCCTGGCGGCCTACGCCCACTACCAGCACTACATCGTGACGGCGCCGTCCCCGCTCGTAGCGCACGTGGAGATCAACCGGCCGGCCAAGCTCAACGCCTTCCACGAGGCCATGTGGCTGGAGCTGCGCGCGGTGTTCCGGCAGCTGTCGGCGGACAGCGACGTGCGCGCCGTGGTGCTGTCGGGCGCGGGCGACCGCGCCTTTACCGCCGGGCTGGACGTTACGGCGGCGAGGGAGGGCGGCGTGCTGTCGGGAGCGGAGGGCCTGGATGGGGCGAGGACCGCGGCTAGGCTAAGGCGCTATATCGCTGAGTTTCAGGAGTGTTTGTCGGCTGTTGAGAGGTGTGAGAAGCGTAGGTCTTTTTTTTTCGATTTTATTTTTTTGGCATTTCTGGTATTTTTTTCCGAGTAGGTGTAAGTATGCCGCTGACGGCATGACTCCCATTAGCTGTGATCTGCGTCATGCACGGTGTTGCCATCGGGCTGGCCATCGATCTCTCATGCTGCGCCGATATCCGGGTATGTGCCAAGGATGCGCGGTTTGCCGTCAAGGAGGTCGACATCGGGCTGGCGGCCGACATTGGCACCCTCGCGCGCTTGCCCAAAGCAGTCGGCAGCCAGTCGTGGGTCAAGGACGTCTGTCTGACGGCGCGCGGCTTCGACGCGGCTGAGGCGCTCGCCGTCGGCTTTGTGAGCCAGGTACACGATTCCAAGGCCGCCGCGCTGGCCGCGGCCGTTAAGACGGCCGGGTTCCTCGCCTCCAAGAGCCCTGTGGCTGTGCAGGGGACCAAGGAGTTGCTAAACCACAGCCGGGACCACACGGTCGAGGATAGTACGTGCTTGACTTGCCACCGCATGGTGTTTGTTCTCGGAACTGACAAATTGCAGATCTCCGGTACACGGGCGTCTGGAATGCCGCTGCCCTCCAGACCAACGATGTGGCGGCCGCGCTCATGTCGGGGTTGAACAAGAAAAAGCCTACATTCGAGAAGCTGTGAGCAGCAGAAGTGGTTTAGACATGTGTAATTAATTATATGCGAGAGGGACTCTTTCCCCCGCGTTGTAAGGTGCCCCAGGTATTGATACACGAATCATAAACATCGTTATTTTGTGACAGCCAGAACCTGCCTCTGCCAAATCCTCGCCCAAAACTTGTTGAGCTGGACACCACACCGCTCTATGTTCAGGGTTCCACTCAGGGAAACGGCATCTTCAAGTCGTCTTCGATCTTCTCCTATTCGCTGTCCTCCAACGGCTCGTCTGGCCGATACGTCTCCCGGAGACGCTGCCCACAGCAATCAGCCTCGATCGGCAGCAGTCGCAGAAACACGAGACTCACCTCCTCGAGCTTAGATTTCAATACCTGCAACATTGCCTCTTTGACAAAAAGATGCGTGTCGTCCAAATCTTCAATGATGAATTCGTGGTGATGAGTGCTGTCGATGTGCACGAGGATCGACTTGATGGCCGGCTCGCACTCTACGAGCACGCCTTTGCGGCATCAGCCATCGAATGGATGCATCGTTTTCATGATACACGCTTACCCCGAACGGCCTTGACCATATTTGCAACCTACACTCGATGATCCGGGATTTTATTGATGGTTGGATTGAGTTGTGGGAGACTGGTTGTTTCCAGGTTGAACAATGAATTCAGGTAATTGGTCATGCAAGTTGCATCTCCTGGAGCCTGCCAAAACAGGTGCCAAGGACATCCTTTTCTTCTTTCAGACCAGGGCCCCAGTCCAACCGACCCACTTTAAACTTGAGCTTCCTTGCCTTCTTTCCTTTTGTTGTTGTTGATGCGTTTCAACATCCCAAGCAACTGCCGCCCTCTCGTGCCTCTGCTACGCCCCCAACTGCTCCGCCCCCAGAAAGCACTGGGAAGCACACCGTTTCTTTGGGTGATCGATGAATATGTTACGTACTCACGGAAGGATTCCGCTCGCCAACACTTCAAAAGGATGCGCTACCTCTTCCCAGATGCGCATTGATATTTTAATTTCCAGGTTCGAATCCTCCAACCAGCAATTGAGCATGTATCATCAAGGGGCATCTTCAGGCTGCCATTTAGCTTTTTAAGGGCGAGTCCTCTCTGTCTTCATCCCATCTCATCTTCTCTCCGTAACCACTTGAATCCACAAATTGAGACGGCTGCCAAAATGCACCCACGCTTCTCATTGATCACTTTGCTCGCGGCAACAGCCGCGTCGGCTGCAGCCACCGACTCTGGTCCGGCCCCGGTCGGGCTCTCGCCGGCGGTAGCACCGGGTCCGGCACTCGATGCCCGGCAAAACCCACCACCACCACCACCCCCACCACCACCGCCGCCGCCGCCGCCGCCGCCGAACCCAACACTACCAGACATAGACATACCAGAACCATCTGGTGCAAACCCGAACCCATCCCCACCAAACCCATCCCCGCCAAACCCATCAGACCCGAACCCGTCACCACCGAACCCAACCCCGCCACCAGGCCCACCAACGGACTTGCCAACCCTGCCACCCAAGCCCCCCATCTCGCTCTTCTCCCTCCCAACAAGCTGCAGCACCTCACTCTCCTCACTCATCACCGCCCTCCCCACCCCGGGCACCACGGACCACAAGGACCTCCCCGCATGGGCCTCCTCCTCGGCCCCGATCCAAAAAGTCCTGTCGGTCATCACCAACAACTACGCGTACCGCAGCCTCGGCGACGACGCCGTCGACTGGTGTCGCGCCGCCGCGGCCGCCGCCACCCCGCCCGCCTCGCTGTCGGCCGCCTACTCGACCTACCTCGACCAGGTCCAGGCCTGGCGCTACGACGTCGAGGGCACCGCCTACGAGCTCGCCGCCAAGTGCGGCTACCAGGTCGGCTTGGGCGCCGAGATGCTCATGGCCACGGAGATGGCCATGTGCACGAGTGGGCTGGCGGCGAGCGTCACGCCGTTTAAGACGGCCGGGGTGGGATCGGGGCTTGATGGGAGTGGGGAGGGAGAGGGTGGGGGTACTGGGGAGAATGCGGCTGGGAGGGTGGTGGTTGCTGGGAGGGCGGTGGTGGTGGTGGGCGCGGTTGTTGTTGGGGGGGTGCTGGCGTTTTTGTGAGTGAGTGGGTGAGTGATTGGGTGAGTGAATGACGGAAAATGTAAATAGATGGGTGGGCGGGCAGACGTTCAAGAGGTCGAGTAATACCAGATGGGTACAATTAGAAGACCTAATCAACCTTGTGCTCAGGTGAGCGAGCAAACCTAACAGTGTTATGTCGGGGGTCTGGAGACAACTGTGCGCAGAAGCCTATATAGATAGGTATGCTTCGCTTTACTTCGGTCCATCCATTTTCCACACCTCCTTCCTTCACGTGCCGTCGTATTTATGCAATCATCAATTGGACGTGGGGATAGCTTTATATCGGGGGGCAGTTAGCCCTGGCCGGGATAAACTTCTAAACATTCCCCGTGTTTTGTCATCGCGGCGGAGCCTCGCTCATCGTCACTACCTAATAGGGAAATACCAAACCGGAAAACAGCCAACCGCTTCTTCCTCTTCTAACGTATCCCGAAGTGTTTTTATGTTGTCGGCGCGTCAACTTTCTGTCGCAACCCTCATGATTGTAGTGGACACATGTCTCTAAGGTTAGATCTGTATATATGAATTTTGGCGTAGCACGAGGCGTGGCCGGAGCTGGTGAAGGTCTTTATATAGCGGTATTCTTTACGGTCTTGGCGGGGAAATTGTTTCAACGGCTGTTTATTACCCTCGAATGGTGGTTGCCGTTCCGGAGTATGCAGGAGAAGCGGCCATCGGCGGTATACTTGTTGGAAGGGGGCCGGGTCTCAGCTGAGATCTGGGTCTACAGGTACCCCAGCTTGTCTAAGGGAGTGAACGATGAGAGTAAAGATGTTGGCTTGGAATAGTGACTGGAACTCTAGTAATGGGAGAGAGCTGAAGCTGCTAGGGCCTAATCACCGCTCAGGGGTGACGTCGGTCTAGACAGACGTTGTTTCCCACCATGACACGTTTTTAATGCCATGCTCACGCTCTTATAGATGTAACAACTTGAAATCAGCAATAACGAACATACCCAAGGCCCGACCGCCGGTGGCAACCGGATATCGGCAAGTCCCATGACCACGGTGTGCCTACAAGGCGACATCTATGTCCGCACTTGCCCAGTTCCCGCTCAGAACTCTTCAACTTGACCACGTCTTTTCTCTGCTCCTTTCTAAGCCACCAGAGCAGCTCTCTTCTCTCTCGCCTTCCCCAGCCTGTATATTCGTATACAGGCTATAAAAAACAAAAACAAAAACCCCATGGCCACCTTCCCACCCGCAGAAGGTCTCGCCCGCGCGGCTCTCACCGTGGCGACGGTGGCCCGCGCCAACACCCCCAGCCACCGCCACGAGCCCCCTCCCACCCCCATCTCGGCCTCGTCAATTGGCAAACTCGTGGGCGCCATCGTGGGCGTTGTCTTCTCGCTGGCCGCCGTCTTCGCGCTCTCCGCCCTTTTGGAAGCGCTGCCGCCACCGCCGCCGTACCAGCCCCCGCCGTCATACGCCGAGGCCACGGGGCAGGGGCCGGAGCCCGTCGCGTTCCCGTTCCCTGTGCTCCCGCCCCCTGCGTACCCGGGCGGTGGGCACAACGCACACCCACCACCACCGCCGCCACCACCGCTCGGGACACAAGCGCAGGGCTTCGAGCTGCAGCCGCTGCCGCCGCTAGCACAACCACCACCGGAATCGGGAGCACCACCAGCGGCTGCAGCTGGAGGGGCGCGGGAGGAAGGACAAGAAGATGGGCCGGGTGGGAGGACGCGGGGGCAGAAGGTGTCGAGGGCAAGGTCTGGTGAGGAGGAAAGAAGGGACGCGTCGGGGCGGGCACGGAGGAGGATAGCCACGGGGCCAGCGGAGGCTGACCAGGGCGAGGGTCATCACTGTCACGGGCATCGGGAGCAGCAGCAGCCTGGGGACTCTCAAGAGGGCTGCGGAGCGGGAGGGAAACAACCAGGGGGATGCCCTGACAGTTGGGGGGGATTGGGAATTTCCTTTTTAGAGAAAGAATACGTTATGATAACTAGTTAGCCAATATTAATATTAATAATAAAAAGATGGCCGTTTAACCAATAACCGAACCATTTGATTCCCTGAACCATCCGATGTCAACAATGGGACTATATTAACATGTGTCTCCCACACATGCGCTTATACATGACTCCAACCCTCGCCCCAGCCGATTCTCCTTCTTTTTCCGACATCAAATATTATAGCTAAGTCTATTGTACTTGTATTGCGCCATTCCTTTAAGAATATCATTCAACGGTGCCACGCTCACTTCCCTTGATAACACTGTTAAGTAACTACGCTGTTAAATATAGCTGCCCAATTTATGACTTTTTAAGCGGTTCAGCTGCTCCCAGAATGATAGATTCAGCCATGTTATTGATCACATTCGAATTGATGGATCTCTCTGAGAAAAGGGGTCCGAAACCAGGGATGGGGTTATTTATAGATGGGGAATGTGTGGCACCAAGATCACGTATCATCGCTCGTTAAAATCACAGTCCTGAATGGCGAGTATCTCCTAATAAATCCGAACAAGTTCGACAGCCCGTCGCGGGTAATAATGGATGAAACATCCTGATAGGACATGTGATTCTGGATAAACGTCGATCTCTCAAGACAGCAAAAGGACAACAACGACGAATGGGCAGAACTAGAGCAAGCCAGGCAAGTAGCAAGCAAGGAAGCCTCGATTGCGCACGATGACATTCTCCCAGAAACATCCATCGCATACCATACATACAGCCCACCCCCTCAGATCTCTCATCAGCCCCGAGATAATCCGGGCGTCTGGTCTCTCCTTTTCCGACAACAATGCCGCCGCAGCGACCCTTCCCTTGCAGCCAAACAGCAAAAGCAATGCTATGCTTCCCAGAATAACACCCTGCAAGACCCATCTAATGCAGAAGAAGCCAATTAATGATACCTTACCTTGTATATACCCGCTCCCACTGCCAATATGACACTCCGCACCAAAGATACTGCCTCCCCCTGCCCTAGTACGAGAGCTATTACTTCTTATTTGCCACCTTATGCTCCTCCAAAGCCTCCGCAAGAGCCTGCGCGAACGCAGGTGTCTTGAACTGGAGCACCCACGTCTCTAATCCCTTGCCATCGTCCGTCGCCGTCGTCAGCTTGACGGTTTTGGTGTCCGCCTTGTAGGTGAATTCTGGCAGCACCAGCTTGTTGAGCGCGACATGCCCGCGTGGTTCAGCGCGCAGCAATATCCGCACCGCACCGGTAGACTTGTCCTTGAGGAGGCGCAGGGGTCCGACCCCTTGCGTCTTCCACGTGGGCTTCTTCGCTTTGTCGCCGCTGGCGCCGGATTCGTCGTCCGAATCGGAGCCCGTGACGAGTTTGACTGCTTTGGCGCGCACTTCATGGACGACGGCCTCGCACTCCTCGCCCGGGCCGCCGTCGGTTAGCGAGATTTGCTCCTGTGGTGCGTCATCCCCGTCAGCGTTTGTTCCTTGACCATCTTCAGCATTGGCAGACGGCTCAGGGGTGGTCGCCGCCGGCGTGGTTGCCAAACTTGAGGCTCCGCCAAACGTAAAAGGGGAATCTGAGCGTCACGTATTAATGATATATTCTAGCGACAGGACGTTGCATAACTTACTAGTACCTGTTGAGGTCCCCCCGCCGGGAACTAGGCTATTGCCAAAGATGGGTGTTGCTGAGGGGGGGTTTTGTGAGAACATGGGAGCGCTGCTCGGCTGGGATGCGCCTCCGAAGCTAAACGCCGGTCCCGACGAAGGCCCACCGAACGAGACAGATTGCTGAGCACCATTGTCCGGTGCTCCGCCAAAGTTGATAGTGGGCGTATTACCGGAGCCGGCACCGAAAGTGAAGGAGGTGGACGTGGACGGGGCGTCGCTTCCAAAGTTGAAGGATGAAGGCGCCGAGAAGGTGCCGTCCGATGAAAATGGGTTCTTGATTGTATCGTTAGTGCCACCAGCGCCAAAGGTAAACGAGGTACCCCCAGCGCCACCAAAGATGGACCCGTCCGTTTGCGGCGCGGCGGGCTGCGGTGCAGCGGGCGCCTGGGAGGAGCCGAAGCTGAAGATGGGCGCGGACGATGCCGGTGTCGGCGCAGGCGCGTTAGCAAACAAGCCTGCGGGCTTCGTTTCGGCTCCGGAAGTGGCGCCGAAGATCGGCTTCGATGCGGCGGGTCCGGCAGTGGCGCCGAAAATGGGTTTCGACTCGACGGCGGTGCTGCCAAACAAAGGCTTTGTGTCCTGAGCCGGGGCCAAGGCAGGGGTGGTCGTGCCGAACAGATTATTAGTCTGCGTCGCGGGTGCCGCCGCCATGTTACCAAAGATGCTCTTCGTCTCCGTGACAGGGGCCGCTGACGTGTTGGCACCAAACAAGTTCTTCGTCTCGGCGGATTCGGGTGCGGGGGTAGATGCGGCAGAACCGAACAGAGAGCTGCTCGGTTTATTCTCGGTACCCCCAAACGCGGGCTTTTTTGCGACGGGTTCATCGCTGCTGGTGGTGGCGGGAGCTGTGCTCGAGCCAAAAAGGCTGTTTGCCGGCTTGCTCGCATTGGCACCAAAGATGGTGGAAGCGGGCTTCCCGGCCTGAGTCTCGGCTGATTGGGTCTTACCGAACAGGCCGCCAAACTGAGGTTGAGTAGCCGGTGCCGCTTCGGTCTTGTTCTGGTTTCCAAACATGGTCGATGATTGGAACATGTTGGTTTTGGCAGGTTCGGGAGCGGTGGCCGCTGGCTGAGCGCCGAACAAGGTGGTAGCAGGTTTGTAATCTTTAGCCTCCTCACCCTCCTTCTTCTGGCCAAATGCAGGGGTGGCGGAGCCGAACATATTAGGACCTGTGCTGGTCGACGTGCTAAAACCACCAAAGGCTGGGACTGCGGCAGCCGGGATATCTGCGCTCTTTGCCCCAAAGGAAGAGAAAAGGTTCGGAGTGGCCCCGTCGATTGTAGCCGAGGGGGCAGCTCCATCAGTCTTCTTCGTCTGAGACCCAAAGAGGTTCTGAGGAGCGGCTTCCTTGGTGGTCTCGGCGGAAGGGGTGGCTGCTGTTTTCTTGCCGGCAGCAGCCCCGAAGTCAACGGCCGAGGAGCCGGCAGGTTGCTGTGCACTGAGCCCAAAGGTGGGGGTCGCAGTAGAAGCGAACTTGATCGGCGTAGCTGCATTCCAAGTGTTGTTGGCCGGCGCGGCAGCGGGCTGTTCCTTGACGGGGCTTGCGGACCGTTCCTTTTCAGGCGGCGGAGCAAACAAGCCTCCGTCACTCGGAGACACCTTCCTGACCGGCTGACCGTCGCTACCCCTGGTAATGCGGTCAAAGATGCTGCGGCCCTGGGTGCTCTCGCCGGCCTCCGAAGACGCACTCGACATGCCGTTCGCAGTAGGCTTCTTGGTATCGAACAGCTGCGGTGTCGATACACCACCACTCGCCGCTTGCTCGTCGCTCTGGCTGACGTCCTGAACCTCCGACTCCTCTTCTTCCGCCTCGGAGCCTGTCTCGCTCTCTTCGTCGGCGCCTTCATTACCGCTACCTTTGCTTCCATCAGAGAGGTGGCCAAAGATATTGGTAGAGCCGACAGGCTTGGGCGCCGCACCGAAGACGGACGTGCTAAGGGGGCCATTGGGTTGGGGACCCGTGTTCGAGGCAAACAGGCTCTTGCCGGTGGACTTCACGGGTGTGGCGGAAGCCGACTGAGCATTGTTGGCAATGCTTTCGAACACGGACTTGGTAGCAGACGACGGGGCAGCCGGTTTCTGAAGCTTGGCCGGGTGGTTCTCGTCAGGCTCGGCGTCGGCCTTGCGCTTGTTCCTGACCGAGGCATCTTGACCGCGGGCACGTTTGTTGGAACCAGGGGATGACGTCGCGAGGGTGTTGCTGCTCGGTGTCAGCTGATCCTCGGCCTTCCTCTTCGGTGTCCCGTTCACCCTAGGGGATCCGGACTCGTCTTCCGAGTCAGGAATCCCATGCTTCTGCTTCCACTCCTTCTTGACGGCCTCGGACGCCCTAACGGTTTTGAACTCGTACAGGCCGTACCGCAGCATGATCAAGCTGCGGCTCTTCTCGTATTCCTTGGCGAAGTTGAGGATGTTGATCTTCCAGTCCTTCTTGGTGAACACGTCGTCCGCAGCATATTTCAGCCGCCGCAGGTCAAGAATGCAAAAGAACTGGCGCCTTTGGTGCTCATCCAGGTCAGGCGGGCAGTAGTGTGCGAGGAATTCGTCGGCATAGACTGAGCCGGACCTGTTCGGGTCATCGGGGACCTCGTTGGCGAGCATCTCGCCAGTGAGATGGCGCGGCGGAGACGGAATCCTCATCTTGAACAACTCGGTGGACGTAGTGTTTGCAAGGATGCGGCCATTGACATCAGCCGTCGAGCCACGGGGCGGTTTTCCGGGCGTGTTGGGGGGGAAACTCTGGTTCAGCGTGCTCGCGGCGGGCACCCGAGGGGAGAAGGTTTGCAGGCTGGGCCGCGAATACAGCGCCGAGGAGCGGAAGATATTTCGAGGGGTCGACGTGACACCAGAGAAACTCGTCGATTTCGGGACGACGCTGGACGGCGCATGCGACATGACCGATGCCGACATGGCCGGCGGTCGTTTGTTCGGGTTGTCGCCCGGCATCCGCTTAACTACCATGCTGGACGGCCGGTGCGCGATATCCGATGCAGATATGCTCTGGGATAGTTTGCTTGATGGGCCTTGGGGCCGACCGATGATCCTGCGCGATGCGATTTGCGACTCGCTAGCGCGCTTCATCGGGCTGTGTGGCGCGGACGCGGTGTTGTTGAACTCGCGCTGCGCGGGTGCGGGCGCAGCGGGCTTAGGGGACGCATCGGTGTCCATGGAACGGTCTTCTGCGGGAGCAGAGGGACTGCGAAAGAGCCCGGTAAACCGAAGATGCTTCGCTTCTTGGATGGCGGATCCATGATGTCGCCTCTCGATGAGCTAGGCTCGCGCGTGGGAAACGACGACGGGTGGAGATGCGAGGATATGCGTTCTCGGTTTAGAATATGGATCAAATGAAATCGATCGCGGCCATGTGCATCCGTCCTCGAGTTTGGCGCGTCGCTCGTCGCGTCGGGGCCGGGATGGATGGTGGCTGTTCAGGCCGGGAACGAGGTTTAGGGGGATGTTCGCGGTTGGTCTGAGCCTCGGCGTGGAAACCCGACAAGACGCGCCGAACAACGGGAAGGATGGGGAAATGAACAAGAGACTTGATGATGAGGATGAAAATGGCAATTGAGTTTGCCACTAAGTGACGCCGTGTTTCCTGTCAAAGCAGGTGGCTGATGAAAGACGCCGCACCAAGTGAATGGTGTGTGTTGTGGAGGAACAGCCCTCGAAGCAACGGTTCAGCTTGGGAGGCCAGAAAAAATTGAATGAGGTGCCCTTGGAAAACGCGGGCAGCTCAAACCCTGTTCTGCGGCGCGTGCACAGGCCACCTACCCCGATCAAAATGTGGAGTCGCCAAAGAACTCACGCCTCAGGCAAAGTCATCCAATGGGGGGGACAATTCAGGCAGCGGGTCTTGCCGAAAGGCAAAGTCAACCACAAGCTGCAGCCGCAACCGGGCTTCATTCCAAGACAACCAATTGCGCCTGCCGTCTTTGGCACCCATCCATATCGGTTCGGCCAAGGTTCCGGAAGTACCAAGTGTGTACTGAGGTACATGTACAAATACAGGCACCCAATGTCAATACGGCCGCGTGACCGAGCAAGGCACACCCCACGTCCAAAAGTGGTCGCGTGTACATGAGGCGGCGCAGGCTTATCCCCTTGGACGTTTAGACAAGGGGTGAGTTGCCCGCAGGTGCTAATGGTGCCTGACACCAATCGAAAGTGCCCGTTTGCTGCACCAAAAATACAAGCTTGGTCGGAGAAACGGACAAGTTACTGCGTATTGAAATTGAATACCTCTATGAAACACTGGTAGCGTTGGGACCAGGTATTTGGTAGGTGTCTCAGGATGGAACAGTGAACATAGAACGAGAACGCTCTGCGATATCATAACGGTGTCAACATGTGTCACAAAAATTGAGCCTGGTTTATCTCGTCTGATATTTCCCTATCTACACGGGACTGTGTTCTTCCGCTCCTGCAATTTCCATTTTCCCATGTATTTTAAGTAATTCACGAGAGCTGGCAAACAGACGAGGGAATACCACCGGCAGAATAAGGGGGAGCGACTTTTTATAAACGAGAGAATACAGAATGTGCGGCCAGCGAGGATTATCGTTCGATCGTGTCTAATCATACCTTACAGTTTAGTTATGACGCTGCTAGACGGCGGTTTTAGATCGGCCCAATATCAAGGATACCAACAAGCAGTGAGCAAGCCAGCAATCCTCAAGATGTTGGCGAAGATATATACCTCTAGTCGCAAGTCGCTTGTGAAGTGGGTCTGAATCTTAAAACCAGCCCGTCCGGATGTTTCCTGACGATGTATTCATGCCTTCGTTTGTTGCTGTGGACCGGGATGTCGGCAAGGGGTAACTACGCACTCAGCCTCCAACTCCCTTTACGAGAGGCGGACGGTTCGGCACAGTTCTTATTACCGCCTCACCGAGAGACGGTTTAAACGCTTCCAAAAAACAATGTAATTTGCGCCGATCACGGGGTTCTGTCTTTTTAAGAAGACAAGAACGGTATTATACAAGAGAACCGTCATCCAGCATTATTAAACTCCCGCCCGCCAAAATATCCCCATTTAAAGCTTGGCCTTGGTCTGAGCCTTCTTGAGAATAGGGTCGAGCTTGGTGGCCTTCATGACGTCACCCTTGATCTTGAGCTTGCCAGACATGAATAGCCGCTGGGCGTTGGCCTTGCCGGCAACGAGGGAGCCAAAGTCGGACTCGGAGAGGGAGAGAGTGACTGCAGGAGGGCGTGTCAGTAAGGCTTGTTTGATGGGGTGATTGAGGAAGAAAGGGCAGACGCACCAGTCGGCTTCTCGCCAACGCCGGTGCCAACGGCGCCCTTGTTCTTGAGGTCGATATGCCAGCTCTCAGTCTCGCCTGCAGCGTTCTTGAGGGTAAAGGCAAAAACGGCGTTGCCCTGCTTCATCGCATCCTTGCGGTCGGCCTCGCTCGCGTTCAGGGCGTTGTTGATCTCGTCAAAAGCCGCCGAGGAGGGGAACTTGTCTTTTTTGATGTCAGCTCTCGAAGTCTGGGTTGGAAAAAGGACGGTTCGGGCAGGCTGGAGCCAACAAGGGTATTGAATGGCTAGGCGCGCAAAACTCACCGTTCTTGAGAGACATTGTGGCGGTGGATTTGGGTACAGAAACGACGGTTGTGGGCGTAGCGTTGGAAAAGAAAATTAATGATGGGCTGGGTATCTTGAAATTCTGGGCGGAAAAGTGAAGACAGCGTAAAGGGGAGTCGTGGGACAGGGCCTAAGTTTATAATGCAAGAGCGGGAGAGGATGCAGGCATTGGCCGTTCCGTCCGAAAGCGATGACGCTGCAAAAAGTTGCATGTGAATTGAACCTCGGCGCATTCCCTCGAAGGCGCAGGGCAGCCCAATGAAACAAGGCGCCATGTGCAGCCGAGAAGGTGGGGCATGGGTCATCAGCGATGCCCTGTTGTGCGGCGCTGTGCTCGCCCGCGCGCCTGCTTGCCTGCTCACCCCACATGTGTTGGGGAAAAATCTCCTTCCCCACAATCACTCAACTGGAGGGATTCCCATTGCGATTCCAGTGTCGATCGACACTGAAACCCTGGGATTGTGATTTTACGGGGCAGTGCCGACTCGACCGGCTACCACCCGACCCGCGACTCCTTTCGATCGGACACGCGCCGGGAATATGAACGACAGCTTCGATTGCCGAACAACGCCACGATGCGATTGTGGCGAGCTGCCGACGATATCTATCCTCGATGTACATTGTCAGTTGTGGGTGCTGAGAACAATGGTGCTAGTGCAATATTCTACGGTATCTTGGTGCGTAATTATTCAAGTATACATGCATCCTGACTCCCAGTGACAGCGTCGGCTCTCATCCGAACAACATCAAGCCAGACAGAATTCCCAGGATTGTTAATATCAACCCTAACCCCGACACAACGGCTCCTCCTGCCCCTGAATCCTCACCCTTATCCCCACCCCCATCCCCATCTCCATCTCCATCTCCACCATCACCATCACGGCCTATATTTCTCAAGTACGCAGCCATCACCGCTCCCCAGCTCCCCGGGTGATCCTTCATCGACGTAACAACCACGCTCCCATTCCCTTCCGACCCACCCTCGACATCAACCACCAGGTTCTCCGTCGCCTTGCTGCTCGCCGTGAACCACCACATCCCCTTCGCCCCCTTCACATACGCCATATTCGTCTGACATATGCCACCCGTAAGCCCACACTGTGGGTCACTCCACAACCCATCCGTCATGCCGCCGTAGAAGCTCCACATAGCCGACCCATGAATCACCACATCCTCGACCCCATCCACATATAGCCCCCAAGCCCGCCGACACATATCATCCCCCTCATCGCACCCCTCAAACCCCGGATCCCCAAACCGCCCATCCACCACCCACGGCTCCGGCGCCCTCAACGGCGTCCCCCTCCCCTGCCAATACGGGCTCTCCGTCTGATGCTGCCCGAGATACACCGCCTTCGCCCCGCGCAACGCATACTGATACAGCACACAATGCTCAAACGACGTGCCCACCAACCACACGCCCCCCGCTCCCTCCCCCCTCCCACCATCACTCTCCACCAACACCCCCCTCCCCACCGCAATATTCTGTGGCGGCTCCGACGCCGACGCCCCATCCAGCCGATGGTCCGCCACCCACCCCCACACATCCTCGAGGTACGCCGACGCAGACCCCGCCACATGCAGCAGGGTGTGCGCGGCGCGGCAGCCGCTTACGTCGCGCGCCCCGCACGCCGTGCTCACGTCCGTGTCGGCGGCCCCGCCGACGCGGAACACGCTGTTCCAGATGCCGACGTCGCCGGGCCGGGTGCCGGCGGTGTGGATCTGGGTGAGGATCGCGCCGGGGAGGGGCGTGGCGACGGTGACGAGGAGGTCGGTGAGGTGGGTGATCCCGCGGTCGTTCGGGTGGCCGAGGCGCAGGATGAGTTGCGGGTTGGTCGCGTCAGAGAAGTGCGCGCCGGAGCCGGAGATGGTGCTGAATACTTCGCCGGTGAGGCGCGAACCTGGGGGGACGTGGATCGTCGTGGTGGTGCGGTATGTGCCTTGGGGGAAGAAGTTTATTATGCAGTTGACGTGCTTGACGAGGATTCTGATGAAGAAGGCCCCGTCGTGGTATTCTTCATGTAGGGGAAGGGGGCTAATTGTAAGGGATCGATGGTGGTTCGGTGAAATGGGGGAGTCTGAGGTGAGTGAGGGGGGTGAGGGAGGGGGGGCTTACTGTCGCCGTACACCGGGTGCTCGGGGTCGTCTTTCACGCTGACGACTTGGCTAATGTCGTATTTCTCGTACTGGGGTAGGGGAGCGGTAAAGTATTTCCCGTCTACCAGGAGGCTTGCTGGGCGGCTGATAGGGTAGGTTTTGCTGGATTGGTAGCCATCAGGGTTGCTGGGAAAGTCAATCTCTACGCCTTCTTCTGTGGTTTGGCGCAGATACTCACGTATTCCCCATCACCCAGACCTGGCCTGCAGGAACTGACCCTTGACGCAGCGTCGAGCCACTGGAGGATACCACGGCCACGGCGTCGCTGACGGCAAAGTTGTCCAGGACAAGCGAACCCTCACCGTACCCGCTCACATAGGCATTGACGCCTGCGTTGCACCGCGAAACAGAAGAGTCGACAATGGACAGCGCGCCGCTGCTATTAGCCGCGCCCATATCAACGCCATAGTTGCAGTTCGTAAAGCTGCACCCTTGGATCGTCGAGACGAAGGACCGCTGGATGAAAATGCCGACGTTGCAGCCGTCAAACTTGAGCCCCTTCAGCATGTACTGCTGGTTCGCGAGCAGGATACCGATGGCCCCGTCTGTGAAGGAGCAGTCCGAGATGATCTTGCCGGAGCCGCCCTCGTCCATGGTGACGCCGACATGGCCCGAAGACGGCGCCATCTTGATATGAACGTTTGTCAGGCTACAGCCCTGTGAGACGGACCATTCGATGGCTTTGGCCGGCACTTCCTTGGGAACTCGCGTCGTGTCGATGTTGAAGTTACGGACGGCCATGTAGAAGTTCTTGGTGGAACCGCCCTCGCCCTGGGTGTTCATCGTAGCCGTGGATGACGGGGTGTGACTCGATGGCTGGGTCGGCGATGAGAGTGGGCAGGTTCAGGGGGTCACCTATCAGAAAGGTGCTGACCAGCATCTGGATGGGTTTCTTCGATCAGGTATGTGCCAGGGGGAACATAGACGTATGCCGGCATGGTGGTGACAGTGTTTCCCGTCCGGTTCCAGGCTACGTTGGTTTTAGTCTTGTTTTCGTTCATCCGACCTCTTTACCTACCGCTTATAGCATCGTTGAAGGCATCTGACGAGTCCTCTTTGCCGGAACTATCCGCGCCATATCGAACTACTGTACGATAGTACTCGAAAGTCGAGTCAGCAGCAAAAGGGGTCGTCCCATTGTGGCCTATCTGAGCCCGCCACCAAGTTTCAGGATTCCCAGGCGATAGTGCTTGACATGACTGTCTTCCCTGTATCGAGGGTGCCTCGGGTTGTTGATGAGCAGTGACAAAAGCGGCTATGAAGACGGTGAATGCCAGTTGAACCCTCATTGGAGGAGCACTTGGGCCTTGGGAGAGGCACAACAACCCCCGTATTGAGGAAAATAAAGGGCAACAAATCCAGCAGCGTCAAGACAAAACTGAGGCTAGGCTAAAGAAAAAAGAAAAAGAAAATGAAAATGAAAATGAAAATGAAAATGACCAGATATTTACCGCCATTGCTGGGAGATGAGGCAACGGCGCATGAGATGTTGGAGCGTCCAACGTTTCCATCCTACACAGTAAATGAATACGCAGGGGAGAAGACCGTGAATGCAACCACACTCTCCCGCAGTTGGTTTCCGGAGTGTGTGTCTATGCATGATCATCTTGGGGGCGCCCCTCGATTGGGTAGGGAGGTCTGGGGGAGCCGTATCTCCGGGAACTTGTGTCAACCGTTGGCTCTGAACCAACCAGCCGTCCGGCCAAGAGACACTACGATCCTGGCAACACGACTCTGTCACCCCTCAAAAAAGAGGAGTTTGGAGATCTTTTCTCGTACGCGAGGGGTAGCATTTTCATGGGGTAAAAAGTGCAAAAGAAACGACGTGGGCCTGATTCGAACAGACGCTCCCGAAGGAACAAGATTTCTAGTCTTGCGCATTAGACCACTCTGCCACCACGCCTTGATTATTATCCAACAACGCTTGGGGCTTTGTTTGGCGCTCCACTGGCAGAACGACATTTTTCCATTTTCCATGCCAAGTCCCTCCCTGCCAAGCATTCCATAACACCCTGCGGGTCGATAAGCCAGAACACCTCGAACAAACGAACAAACGCAACTGGCGACTTCCACGTCCGTTTGTCTTCGTTTCTCGGGACGTCGGTCGGCTCAACCACTCCCTTTGGTTACACCAATCCATGCCGCACTCACCTTCTTTCTTTCCTGCCATGCGCAATCGCCGCTAATCAACGCAACCGACCGCAAAACAAACCACCCACCACCATCAACCATGTCCGCCCTCCTCTCGCTCCTTGGTTGGAGCTTCCTCCCAAATGTATGGACTCCTCATAGGACCCTCTTCCCTGCCCTCACTCCTAAACCCCCACAATGATAACCAAAGAACAAAACTAACCCCCCACCCCCCACCTCTGTAGCTCGTAACCGGTTGGACCCAATCCCTCTACTACAGCATCACCATCCGGGCGGGCGACCCCAAACCCCAACCCGGCACCCCCCGCTGGGCCGAGCACCGCCTCCGCATCCACATCGCCGTGGTCGCCCTGTACCTGCTCTACACCATCTACGAAGCCGACTACGACCTGCAGCGCGCCGGCACCTACTACACGGACCTGGGCGTGCCGCTGGACGCGACCGAGCGCGAGATCAAGTCGCGCTTCCGCCGCCTCGCTGCCCTGCACCACCCGGACAAGGTGTCCTCCTCCACGGTGGGGGGCAGTGGCCCAACGCATGAGGATATCAATGCGTATTTTGTGCACCTCAAGATGGCGGCCGACGCGCTGGCGGACCCGGCGAGGCGGTTCACATACGAACGGTTTGGGCCCGATGTTGTGGGCTGGATGCGATGCATGACGGTGCGTGATTTTGTGGTGCGCGACGCGCAGGGGTCTAGTGCCATTTTACATGGTGGAGAGCGTCCGTTATGCAAGGGATTGAACCTTATACCATTAACTTAGCAGGATGACAACTACAAACGGTGGGTGGTGGTAGATGTGATG